GAGGTTTGAACTTTTATTTCTTTTTTTTTTTTATCGAAGATAGAGGTAGTTTAATTTGAACTTTTATTATTTTTTCGCTGAGAGAGAGAGAGAGAGATTTTTATTTTTTAACTTTTGATTTTTAGGTTTCTAATGATATGGATTGGATCGTGAGTCCAAATTATTGCAATAAAAATTTTGATTTGACTTAATTTTTTGTGCCTTTCTTAAGGATTAAAATTTAATGTATTTAAATTTTTTTAGGCTAATAATGTACGTAAAGGTTAATAACTCTAACAGTTGATAATTTTTTTTTGGATTAGGCTCCTGATAAAAAATCAAAACAATAGACATAATTGACGTTTTTTATAATTGCAAAAAATATTGAAAATACCATCAACTAATTTAAACACATATTCTAAAAAGTTATATCATCATATTATACAATTTTTTTGATAAACATAAATCACAAGACATGTATACTTAAAAAAAAAGTATGTAATTAAATATATATATATATATACCTTCGGGCAAAAAAAAAAAAAAGTACGCAATAATCGTCAAACAGGTACATCAAAACACAAATCGTTAATGTACTTTGTTTTCTATAAAAATAGATCGTCAGGTAGGTATACTAAAATATATATCGTGAGACGTCATGATAATGTCCAAATTGATTGTGTATCTACTTTCTAAACTTACCAAATCAACGATTAATATGCGACCAAGTATATTTCTAACTATTGGGTTGTCGAATTTGAAATTCAAAAAAAATAGATAAAATACAAAAAATACTCAATAACAAACACGAAAAAAGTAAACCAACTATATTTGAAGCTGAAATCATGTCATGAGTGTAGAATGGATAATGAAAACACATTAACTACTCAATTCTTACGTATTTGTGCCGACCTAGAAATTTTATACAATATTTTTAAAAGAATAAAAAACTTTAAATTTAAATCTAATTTAGTGTAGCTTCACAATCTAATTTGGTAACTGATGGTTAGCCTTTATATACTGTTGAAACGGCCGTGCCCACCCATAGCAACAGCCACTTTAACACCAATCTTACCGTCCTAACCATCAGTTCCTGTTTGGAAATTGGAACCGGGGGATTCTCCAATTCAGATGATGCTACTCTCTCTTCAATCTTACCGTCACCAACAACCATTTGTTTCTGTTTGGACAGGTGGATTTGGATTATTCTAATCTCTCAGTCTAGCCGGCAAAATTTACACAACCTGCCTTTAATAATGGTGGATGGCTGACATTACATACTATAATTTTCTAATCCTGTAATTGCCAACAACCCGTTTTGAAGGCCTTTATATCCAACAACCAAACATTGGCAGTATTTTAATATAATAATATTCTATTAAGACAAATTGTTAAAAACTTCAAAGAAGACTAATCAAGAATAGGATCGATCCTTCAACATTGTACCCCCAACCCAACCCCCTCTGCCCCTCCTCCCTGTCTTGTCTAATTGAAAGGGAAGCTGTTGCATCCCAAATTATCATTTGCGGGCAGGAGGTGAAGTTTGTAATACTGGCCCCGGTGATCATTGCATGTATGCATTGTAACTGTTTGAATCTATTCCTTAGGTTGAGCCCACTTTCCCTCATCATAAAGTTGATCTTGTGTTAGTGATTTTTTTTTTTTTTTGATCTCATATGTGTTTGCGTGAATGTGTTTATTTATTTACATGTTCAGTGTTAATGTGTGTGTGTGAGAGAGAGAGAGAGAGTAGGCGCATTGCAGTGCCATATATGACATCCTTATATTTCCTCTGGAATTAGTTAGCAAAAAATAATAACTATGAATGTATTGTATACGACTTCATTCTTGGCAAATGACGTTATAAAGACAAATGTCAAGTGACTTTGTGAGGACATAAGTGCATGGACAGTGCACTCTAATTGTCGATGAAAAAAATGTTATTCGTGTTTGACACATTATTTCTAATTTGATTGTATCTTGATGCGATCTGTTTTCTTTGGGTAGGGGGGCATGTTTAGGTGATGCAAAATTATTAGTAACTTAAAATGGTTCCACAAAAAAATAAAATAAAATATTTTCCCAGGTGTTGGTACCAAACTAGTGGGTGGTAGACTCGCATGGCAATGATTTTTGTAAAACTACTTGTGGTAGAAATAGGGTATATGTTCTCATTATCAAAGGGAGTTGTGTAATGTGAGAGAAGTCTTCAGTATGTAAACCCCCGCTCCCCCACCACCCCACCCCCAGTAGCAACTGACATATAATATTTTAATAAAAAGGTGATACTATGTCATTAACTAAATAATAAAATTTCAAATGGACAAGACAAATTGAACCCATTTAAGTAGATATTGGTTTATATGAAAAAAAAAAATAGTTATCTGTTTATATAGACGAATGATTATTTTATTTTTTTTGTCAAACACACAAATGAAATGCACAGAAAATCCACACATCACAAACACTCAAACACACTTGGCAACGGGGAGACGCATAATTATTGTCTTGTGTAAGATTCACTTTTTTAGTTATTTATATATTATTAATATGTGATATTATATGATAATATTGTTATAATATCGTTGTTACAATGAATATTTTTCCCACATTAACACCAATCTTACCGTTCTAACCATCAGTTCGTTTGGAAAATGGAACTAGTCTCTCTCTCTCTCTCTCTCTTCAATCTTACCATCACCACCAACCATCTGTTCCTGTTTGGACCGGTGGACTTGGATTATGCTAATCTCTCTCACTCTAGCCGGCAAAATTTACACAACCTGCCTGGCTTTAATAATCGTGGATGGCTGACTTCACATACTACAATTTTTAAATCCAATAAATGCCAACAACCCATTTCCAGGCCTTTATATCCAATAACCAAACATTGGCAGTACTTTAATATTATATTAAGACAAATTCTTTACAAACCAAGCCAAAACCCAGACGTATTACAATCTTGAGCAACGTACACATTGAATTAATTGAAAATTTTAATATTATTCAGTTTCAATCATAATTGATTATGACTTGGGATTAAATTCTTAAATTATATTCAAATAAAATAATATTTTTAATAATAAATTAACTTAGTGATAATTCAACCACCTAATAAACCTCTCATCAAGTATAAGTTAAAGTTTCGGATATCCTACCAACCGTGGCCCTATAGGGCCACCACTCATAATTTTTTTTTTTTTTGAGAAATAATTTTGCACAAGGTCAAGCATTAATCCGGTATGGAAAATAATTGGACGCTTTACTAATACAGTTGGGATATCAAAAATAAAAAATAAAAATTTCCGACCTTTCATTTTAGCAACAAGTGTGGCAAATGATGCGTCGTTCCCACCTCTTACAATTCAACATTAAGTTGTATGTACGAAAAATACGAATACTTGCAATGTCGGCTATTTCTGAAGTCGTAATCTACGATTTTTAATACCGTTGTCCAATCGTACAAGTCATTAGACATGTGACAGTATTAAAATTGACACAAACTTACTCATCGTCTTAATCATTTTGTCAAATAATCTTATCCTCCACCTGCCAAAATTGGTTGGATGTCAGTCACCATTAACCTACCAGGCTTAGGCTTCTCAATGGACCGTAATTCAACTATGGATTCTAATCTCTATCCATATAATAAAACAGGAGTGTATTTAAATTTTATCTCAATCATATTTTTTCTCTTAAAATCATCATCAATCACTTACCTCACCCATCATCCCTTTATCAGACTCAAACGTCAAATCGCATAACTTATTTTTATCATATGTTTAATCATTTATATATTTTTTTTTCCTAAAAATATCACATCACTCATTTCTATTATATATTTAATCATTTAATATTTGTAATTAATATATTTTTAAAAAAAATAATATAATAAGATCAATTTTTTGGACGCTCGAATTTTATATTTTATCGTGCCTTCAAACACGGGTTATAACTAGTGATTTTATATCCGACTAAGAATTTGTCCCCAAATTCAATTCGATCATCCCATAAATTATTTTCGTTTTTCAATCTAGATCTAGATTTATTAAGCATCGGATATTTGCTTTAACAATCTGTTTTGATAAAAAAAAGTTAAAAAATCAATGAGTTGAATTTCTTATTTTTTTGATTCAACAGTCAGGGATGTCTGAATTAATTTACGCACATCTCAACAAATTTTTCTCTTTGATTAAGTCAAAAGTAGACCATCCACATTGGGACTAGGGTATTCATCAAGAATAAATTTTTCATAGTCTAACTCAAAAAAATTATTAAAATTCGAACTTAAAATATCTAAATTTACGACTCGTCTTTATTTTCACTTAAAATATCCCTCAAAAGTTCAATGAGTTGAATTTCAACATGTTATGTAAAGGTTGAATTTGAAGTCATTAAAGTAGTCAGTTAATTTCATCATTTATTCATATATTTACACCCATATAACTTAAATTGAATTATGATCGGGCATATATTTATATTATCAAACTCAATTATGTGAACTATATGGATAATCAATAAAAATTATAAATATATATAATCAATTTTAAATTCAAATAAGATTCAAATCAAAACTTGGTCGATTCAGGAGCTTAGTACTAAGTTATAAAGTGATATTCCACACAAGTGTTACAAGATAAAAATAAGTGACTAAGCATATTTTATTAGTTTTCTGGCCTGATTACGCAGTTGATTTAGCCCGGAGTTTTAGACTATGAATCCAAATTTAATAAAGGTTAGGTTCCGATAATGACGAAAATATGCTCAAACCAAGCTGTAATATTAAATACTGGTGGACAGCTGGTAAGGTTTTGCTCGGTCATATCCTCTCCTTTGACCAAACCATCAGCCCCTCTCTCTCCCTTTCTCTCAATCGCCGGCTTGACAAGGTCTATAAAACAAAGCTTGTTATATATTTGTTCTATTGTTCTTGTTGTGATCCTTCCTCTATGTATAGTTAAGAGTGATCATTAGAGACATATATATATATATATATAGGAAGACGAGGTTGAGCACCATTAATGGATAAACAAGCTAAGCCAAAGAATAAGCTCTTAAAGCTTCTACCAAGGGCTGCTTCTGGTATAACGTTCCAAAACATTCCTTTCAGTCCAGGTAAAAGATCAGATCATGGGAATACAAACAAGCCAAAAACCCACATCGGCAAAGGATTTTCCGGTCCGATGGTATCGATGATTCCGGCTGAAGCTCGACGAAAGTCGAAGAACTCCAGCTTTGAAGCACAAGAACCCACTTCACCGAAAGTCTCATGCATGGGCCAGATCAAGCACAGAAAGAAGATGAGCAAAGATAAGCATGCTTCGATGCCTAAAGAATTCAAGCCCTTTTCAACTCCTCCTCCAGTGAAGAACAAGCCATCGACGATCAAGCCCGTGTCGTCTCCGGCCGAGGTGAAGAAAAAACCATCCACGATTCGAAATATCTTTGGCGGCGGTGCAAAACAAGCTGGTCGGAAATCTGATGCTTCTGCTGATAAGTCGACTCTTAGAGATAGAGCACCGAATATGAGTCAGATGAGCAGGTTTGCGAGTGGTCGCGATGCGTTTGCCAATTTTGATTGGAAAGCCACCCAGATTTCACCAGAGGACTCCAACGATCACCGGAACTACTTCTCCGATGACGAGAGGGAAGAGAGTGATGGAGAAGATGAGGTCATTATTCCTTTCTCAGCACCTATTATTGTAAATAAATATGTATCTGGAGTACTAAATTTGGAGCCAAGGAAAGAGATTAATATATGGAAAAGGAGAACGATGGCTCAACCAACACCTCTTCGGGTGAATACCCTGGTCAGAACAAATTGATAAAGTCCTTTCAATTCTTCTTTTTTTTTTTTTTTTTTTTCTCTCCTTCCTTATTTTTGTAGTTCTTGGTTTTGTTGCTCTATAGATTCTTTGATTTCACTGGTTTAGACATGTGAAGTGGGACAGAAATTAAGCTTTCCATAGTAATTTGTGGAAGAAATGGTGGGTATTAGTGCTCTAAGCAATACATGTATCACACAAAATTTGCATGTTCAATTGTTTCTTTTGCTTACATTATTGGATTTTTTCTGTGCAAGTGTTTGAGTCAAACAAGAAATTCAAATGAAATAGGAAAAATTTTAGCCAGGTTTCTTTTAGTTTATCATATCTTTATATATATATATAATTTTTTTTTTTGGGAGAGGGAAGGGACAGGGAAACTTGAATCCTAAACCTCAAGAAGACAAAATCTTCGTAAAGTAAGTAATATCATTAGACCAAAGACCGTTGGTATCATATCTTTATAGACATCTCTTATATTTTTTGAATCTTCGTTGACACTCCTGTTAGATTAAAAGTGTTAATTATAATGTAATTTTACTAAATTCTCTATGATATATTTGAGAAAAAAACTTTATCCATACTATCTACATAGACATATTTTCAATGAGACCCTCTCTATTTTTAAAATTTTTGTAGGTATTAAAATTAGTACTGAATAAAATTTGATTCGAGTTACTTAAAATTTACCTTTTACGTATTAAAAGTCGAGTCCATTAAAATTCTATTCGAGTAGATTAAAATCAGTTTAAATCAAATTTTAATCAACTCGCATTGAATTTTAATTTGATAAATAATAAAATGTAAATTTTAATACTTAAAAAATAAATTTTAATTAACTTAAATCGAATTTTATTTAGTAAAAATTTTAATAAGTAAAAAAATATAAATTTTAATAGCCTAAAAACGAATTTTAATCGATGCTTCAAGTAAAGTTCAAATCGGTTTGAATTTTAATATATAAAAAAATTAAAATTTAATCAGTTTGAATCGAATTTTAATTGACTCAAATTTTAATATGTAGAAAAATAAATTTTAATCAGCTTGAATTTTAATACGTAGAAAATTAAATTTTAATTAAATTTTATGTAGAAAGATTGTTTGAAATTTATGTAGGGACATATTTAGTATTTTAGATGAACACGTGAGTGACGTTTAAATATAAATTAAAAGAGGTGTTAGTGATATTTTTGATAATAAAAAGATATTCTTAAAAATATAATAAACTAGAAGGAGTGTGAGTAAAATTTTCTCAATAAAATAATAATAGTCATTAGAAAAATGATCAATAATAGGAAACATTGTAATTCACTTCACCTACAAGTTTGGTGTTCGCTGGTTTAAGAATGCCGCAGTCGCTGTTCAGCCACCTGCCAGCCTGCCACCCTTGAAAGTTTGACAAAATCAAGAGCATGCAGCTTCATCTTTCGTTTTATTTTTGGTTGAATTACACTTTGTACCTTAAAAGATTTAAAAATTTTATTTTTTTATTTTCAAAGATTATATTTCTCACATTATATAATTTAAATATATTAAAATTATTACAATGTGACCCTTCTTTTAACTTATGTTAGTCATTTCATCAATGTCAATGAGATTTTTTGACAGAATAAATAACAAAAAATTAACAAAAGTGTTACATTACAATACTTTTAATATATTCAAGGGGTAATGTAAAAACTTTAATTTTTAAAGGTATAAAATATATTTATGTAGATCTTTTGAGATATAAAGTGCAATTTCTCCCTTTAATTTTTGCGATCTTCTTTTTAAATTAATTGTCATTTGACTTAAAATTATCTAGTCGGCAACTCCCAGAATGGTCAAATTTATCAATTTTGTAAACATTGGCTAGCCGACCCCAAATGATTAAGTTGAGTTGAAACGTCATAGTCATCCAATTTAAGTATTTAATTTATTGTAATATTTATATTAACATCGAATTCAAGTGTGTGATGAGACTCAATTTCGATCTAACAGCAATAATTTATAATGAATTTGATCTTCAAATTAAAGTATCCAAATTAAACACAAATAATATTTCCTTTTGTCTCTGGTTTGTTACTTGCACTTAGCTTCAACCGGTCTACAAACGGCCAAAGGGTTCCTCCAGTGAAAATTATAATATCTGGAAACACAACCCCCCCCCCCCCCCCCCAACCAAAAAAAAAAAGAAAACCCATCTTCCAATTGTTTGGGATGTAAAATTTGAGGTTTGTATTGTGCGTCGATCAACTTGCAAAACTGGATGTAAGGTAGAATTAATTCTGATTGCAGTTTCTTTACTGTTATGCCATTGTGATCAAAGACAAGCTAAAAGCCATGCAAATAGGATAAATAACACGAAGTAGGGTGGTTTAGTGGGGTACCGACCTTATTCATCACTTTAAAGTTGGGAGTTCGAGTCTTAAAGTCTTTATTGGGAGTTGGTGGTTGACCGCTATGTTAGCCTAACTTGGTCTGGTCCTGAGAGGTGTTCCAGACGTGGTCAGAGGCTTTATGATTCAACCGATGAGAACCTATCAGGATGGTTGCTGGGCACTCTTCCTTACCCCCACCCTTTTTTTCATTAAAAAAAAAAGGGATAAATACCCTCTGTTGATACTCAAGTTTACATGAAATTTCCCCTTATTACCCCCTCCCCAAATAAAAGGGTTGAGATATGGGTCCACTCAACTTATATAAACACTCTTATAGGTTCAGTGAATAAACCTTTTATTTATTTATTTTTTATTACAACGTGTACAAGTTTGTATTAATTATTCTTTCCAGCTTAACCATTGATCACTGTAACTTGAATTAAATTAAAAAATGTCTCTAAAAAGATAAAAATGACTAACCCTCGTATGAAAAGAGATTGAATCACCCTTGAGGTTAAACACATGAGTATGAAAAAGGATTGAATCACCCTTGAGGTTGAACACATCATCCTTGTGATGCGTTTTGAGAAGTTTACTCCGTATGCTCCTAATTTTATCCTTTTACATGTTCAAAAATTTGCTGGTTAACTATCAGATAAAGAATTGGTTTTTTAAATTCCTGATTCGTTGTCTAACCTAAAGTGATATTGAGATCAACCCCAAAATAGTTTTAGTAATAATTAGAGTAAGTTGTAAATTCAGACATTTTAAAGTCGAATTTCAATAATTCTTTTTAACTGAACCATGAGAAATAAATTTTTTTTGAGTACCTTAATCTCAGTGTGAATAACCTGTTTTTAACTAGATCAGAGAAGAGATTAATCAAGTTTGGTATAAATTGGGTATACACCCCTAATCGTTGAAAGTTTTTTTTTTTTTTTTTGTGATCAAGTATATTGAAGATAATATCTGGCCATTAACTTGAAGGAGTTGTAATTGATTGTGATGAACTTGAATCATACATTCAAGATGGAAAATGATATAAAAAATTATAGATCCATAATCAAATTAACATCGCAGCCATCCCATTAATAAATAAACACTAATGCGAGACTAATAAACATTTTCCTTTTCACTTTTGGGTCATAAAACCCATATTGCTTTTCCTTCGTAAATTTAGGTAACACGAACTCCTTGGTATCTAAGAATCTCCCCTATGAGCTCTCCTTTACCAGAACCCACATACCTGCCACATATTTCACCATCTCTGATGAACAAAAATGTGGGAACTTCAACCACGCTCATGTCCTTCAAGAACTCCATGCAACTATCGTTCTCGTCGCCGTTCATCCTCGCAAACACCACCGAATCAGCCATCTGCTTCGACAACTTCACCACCGTCGGGTACACTTTAACGCACGGGCCACAATGCTTCAAACCCACGTCAAGAACAATCAACTTGTGATCAATTTTGTGTTCTTCAATCAATTTCTCTACATCCTCTCTGCAGTGAAGCTGAACCACAGCTGAATGATTGTCTCCGTAGTACAATACGTCTCCGACCAGCTGATCTGGGCCTATCCCTTCTTCTTCGTGGATCTTTTCCATGCTTTTGTAGAAGCTGAAATGTGGGACTTTCTCTATTTTCTCTCTCCTGCAAAGTTCTTTGGTCTTTTCGGATTCATCACCCATAACGAGTAAAAAGTTTACGTCGTTACATGTCCGACTAAGGTCCACCATGAAAGGGTAGATTTTCCTGCTGTGGTAGCTGTGGCTAGCTGCATATTCTACTACCACAAGCTTGTTTTTGGCCACGCGAAGGGCTTCGTCGAATTCATCTATGCTATGAACTTTCTGTACTCTTTCATCAGTATCGACTTTTTTCACCTCTGGGGCAGCTGTGGCCTTTGGAATAAAGAGGGAACGTCTAGTTTCCAAATTTTTTACAAGGTGGCTGGGTGGTTTAGTGGGTAAAGAAAGAGAGGGAAAATGGAACTGAAGGGGATTAATTTTAGTGATGGGTGCAAGATTTGGAGGTGGTTTAGCCAAGAAGTTTGTGATAGTAGCCATTAGGGGGGTAAGAATTGAAGGAAGGAGAGAGAGAGAGAGAGTATGTTTGAAGATGAGAGATGAACAGAGAAGATGGGAAGCGGAATGAAATTATGATGAGATCTGAGTGGATCTAAACATCATATCCACTCGTTAGGTTTGTGGCTCATATTATCCACTCGTTAGGGTTGATTTTTATCTCAATCCTTTTCGCCATTAGCATATTCTTCTGATTGGAAAGAGAAAATGCCACCAGTTTATAGTGGGTCGTGGAGGCCCTTCTATCTGTTCCACAAAGTTTGAAATTAGCTGGGCTTTTACGCCCAGGCTAATAATAAGTGAGGCCCAGTAAAACAAAAGCAGGGCAGATATCTCTTACTGGCCAATGAGTAATACCAAGTGGACTCGGTCCCTTTTGGAGAGTTCTACGGGTTTGTTGCATTCATTTTCTCAAGGTTTAGCATTCCTCTCCGCTAGGTATCTCAATAGACCGAAGCGGGGGCGGGGGTATAATTTTTATTCCTGTACCCCCTTAAAAAAATTTTGTCCATCCTCGATTCACTTCCGTTAACAGGTATAATTTTTATCTTCATCCCCGTCAGCGGATAAATTTTTAATCCTTGTCCCCGTTTCCCTCGTACCTGCACAAACCCAAACCCAAACCCAAACCAACATAGAGCCAACAAACCAGCATCAGCGTAAAATTGTAACAGTTTTTTTTTTATCTGATTTCATATGACAAAAAATCATCAAAATATCATTCTTGAAGAAAGCTCTTAGCTCTTACAGTGTGTTAAATATTTATATAAATCCTGAAATGTCATAAATCTTGGAACTTTAGTTTCTTAACTTACTATTTTTTTTGCATTTTTATTTCAATAATCTGTTTCTTAGAAGATTGATGACACGTAATCAATTACCAGTCATGGATATCTAAACTGGCTACAAGTCAATTATCTAGTAGAACCAATGGAATAAAGAATTGTGATGAATAGCTGTGTGCATGTTGCTCGAATGGCAATTGCACCACGGAAGTCATACCAAAAGTACAAATGGATTTAATTTCTGTTGTGAAGCCCCAAAACTATTTTTTTGGCTTTCTTTTTCTTTTTAATTTTGTATGGACTCCTTATTAATTATAAGAAGCCTGATATTATCCATAATGTTCAATGAAGTAAAAGATTGTTGCTAATGTTTGCACTTATTAACTATGGTAGTGTATATTACCTATTTGATTATATATATATAACGGGTAACAGGGACGGGACGGGACAGGGTGGGAATAAAGGTAAGTTTATCCCCGCCATCATTCCTGCACGGGTTTATACAGGTATTTTCGTATACGTCCACCGTCCAATACATATAGTCTATTCCCGATCCAAATGGGATGAATTTGGACAAATACTCATTTTCTCCGATCCGCTGCCATCCCTATTCTCCACTCATATAGAGAGAAGGGGTTGCAAAGGATTGGCGAGGGCAAATGGTGGCAATGAATGGTAGAGATGGTAAATGCACTTATGATGGTGGAGATGGAGGTGGGATGATGGCAAAGGTGGTGCTGGAAGTCGTGGTAGTGGTTGCAATGATGGATGTGTGTGGTGATAAAGGTGGTGGATTGGGTGATGGCGTGCTTGTTAGGAGAATAGTATAAATGAAGGAAAAAAAATCAATCGTTTTGAGGTATATGAAAGATATTATCTTCAAGTTTTGATACATGTCCCAACTAATAAAATTTAATGTCGGGTTTATAACAAATCACTTACAGAATACAGAAAAATAACTAAATATGTGCAGACAGTAATTCTGATAATTTCTCCTAACATCTTTGCGAAATATGTGCATGTCTATTATAAATCTAGTGCAAATTCTTCCAAGTTCTCCTTTCTGTGTATTTTTCAGTTTTCTTCTAAATTATGTAGTTGCATTTATGATCCTTTACATAGTAGCGGAAACACTCCATGTGAAACAAACCAAACATTAAAGAGAGCATAAAACCATACCATACACTTGACATTACAATTTATCAACGCAAATGATAACTCGAGTGGTTACATATGCAAGTTATAAATTTAAACGTTTTGAATTTGAACATTGACAATCATTTAAGGTTAAGTCATGAAAGATTTATTCTTTATGAATATCCTAATTTCAACGTAAATGACTTACCTTTAATTGAATTGAAGACAGAATTATTTAAAGTACACGTAAACACGCCCGACAGTTGAAAAAAAAAACAGACATTACAATTTACTTGACACATATAACAGCGGTACTGTGGGATGGATAGGCCGTGGATGGTGAAGGATCAGGCCTTTTGGTTTCAATGGATTTGGATGTGTTACCAAATGCAAATGGTTTGAGAATTGAGAATACTTTCTTATATTTGGTAATGACTAATCTACGTTCTTGGTAATAGACATTCATTCCATAAAGATGAGATTAGGTTTTTGTATTATAAATGAAAACTGCATTACTTCTTTATTAGAATAAATATATATATATATTTAACTTTATGATGAGCATTCCATTTTCATATTTCACTACCAAGTATAACAACAATGTTACACAAAAATGAAATTATAAAGTTCATAAACGATTTATTTTCCAATCCCAACAGTAAGACCCATATTTAACTCTTCCAAAATTCAAAAACAACTGGACCAAATAGAAAAATGAAACGACTAACATTCAGATTTTTATTTTTTTTTTTAATCATCATACAAACAACGTTAGTTGACTGTCACTTCGCCCTTCATGCCTGCTCCCACGTGAGGTGAACAGTAGAAAGTATAAGTGCCTTTTTCGGTCAAGGTCACCGAGTAGGTCTCTCCTGGTCCATTGAGGAGGTCCTCCTCGCTCATGGAGATCTTCGCTGCATCGACGCCGGCCGGAACTTTGTCCTCGTCGAACACAACATTGTGAGGGAAAGCAGCGTTGTTCTTGAACACAATCTTCTCTCCAGAAGCCACTGAAAAGTTGGCTGGAATGAAAAGAAAAGATCCATCATCAGCACCGAGCAAGACCTCCAGGGCCATGGCATTGCTGGCAAGCATTGCACTAGCTGCAGTAGCAACAACAACAGCACCCACTTCTTTCAGTGACGCCTTCACGGCGAGCCTCGGGACCGGAGACGCAGCCACCTTAGCGGTGGTGCTGCTAACTCTTGAAGTGGTCGCACAGGCAGCCTTAAGTCCGGTGAACGATGGGATGGCAACGGCAGCAGAGGTGACACTAGCCATTGAAGAAGTTTAGTACTGCCTAGTGTGTCTTCAGAGTATATGTGAACCGAAAATGGAGAAGAAAAAGAGGATGGATGGAGTTTAATACGTGGGTAAGGTAGAAATCTGAGGTGGGATTTGTGTGGTTCGTGTTTGTGGAGGGGTCAGGGATTTAGATAATGTATAGCAGGGCAAGGATGATGGATAGAGAAATGGGTTATCTGCTCGGGATAGGTTTGATTGGTTGGATTGGATTCTATCTACTGACGTGGCATGGATGTTTCTAATGTGAGGTGAAAAGTGGGCGAAGTATTAAACACAATAATAATATTATTTGACCTTAAAAATTTGATATAATTTACTGACATAACGATATAATTTTAATAAAATCATTAAATCAACACTAAGTTCTAATATTTAATAGGCTCTCCAGTCAATCTAAATATCATAATAAATTAGATTAATATATTAAATTAATCTAAAGATCATAATAAATTAGATTAATATATTAGGTTCAATAACACTGCTTCGTGGAAGAGAAAAAGTTTTGCCCGTGAAAAACGAGAATTGCAGGCACTAGATCTTTTGTTTAACTGCCTGCCTTGCCTTCAGTTGTTACACAGCTGTGGCCTGACTAATTTTAATACAGTTTCAGCGGTCACTAACCAATGACTAAGAGGTTAGCGGTTGGCCTACCGTCCTGCTATTAAATCTTAAGGTCATGAGTTAGAACATCGTGCTCTCTCTCTCCCGGTGGTTGACCCAAAAATTAAAAACGAGTGCCGAAGGTACAACACCTTACTGTGACATAGAAAAGTTAATAAAATCTACAAAATTATGCCTCCCAAAACTAATATATGTATCTAGATGAAGACGATGACGGCCAATTAAAACTACTAATTTCAGAAGTAGAAAACTAGTTGTCCAAGTCCAACTCAAATCCACACGTTGGTGTTATCTCTTATAATTGTCAAGAAGATGGCATCTGGGTCACGGTGCATATGTAGGCAGAACTAATTCAAGGTCATAATGTAGGAATAGAGCTAAGAGCAACCCAAAACTATAGAAATTAAAGACTAAAAAAAGGTCATTTTAGGTGTTTGCAACTGAATATAGGAAACATCGTATGATAAATTACAACAAAGAGTCATTTCACCTCATCAAACAAAACATCCTAATGCTAGCAGCAAGTAGAAAACAATCAGCAAGGATTTTTTTTTGTGCAATGCAATACCAGTCATATTTCGTACATATCTAGAATCTTCTCTATGACTGTATTTTCAAACTCCAATGTCACAGACTTTAGCAGTCAGAGAAAACTCAATACCTGATGGACATGGGCCACGACCTCAGGGAAGCTATGAAACAATAAGGCTGCAAGAAGGACAAGTTTGCCCGCAAAAAAATATAACACGAACAAAAAAGAAGTGAAAAGGGCGTGAAACCTTAAGATTAATGAAATAATGCACTGAACACAGGGAGGAGGCTAAAACATATATTTAGTGGCATTGGTGCTTCTTTAGCACAATTTCATAAAAGGCTCCATAACTGCAATTTAGAGCTCAGATTAACTACTGAAAAACATAGTAAAGAGGTATAGCACCACATTAACTCCTGTATGATGAATCTTCACAACCCATTCGTGCCATTGTGCAGCCATTCTAGAATAAGGGGTATAGCACCAAATTGCTCATGCTTAACAAGAGGACAAACTGATAGTAAACTAACAAGTAAAAGCTCTATCTGGTGTATATGCAACTATCCATTGTTGAGCTTAGAGGTACAGACTGACGGTAGGTAGTCTCAAGTAGGCACTTGCACTACTGGGCTTTACACGCATGCAAAAAAGATTATCTAAGATTTTTTTTTTTTTTTTGGTCGCGGATTATCTAAAGATTCGAATGCAAATTTGTAGCTCATCGTACAGTCTTGTACATTACTTTATTGGGAATACAATGGGTTTCATCATCTTTTGGGTTGTAATTTCAAGAGAGAGTATTACATTACGTAATTGTGCCTGCAATCAAATCAAGCAGGCACACACACGTACACACTAGGGGATGCTCACTTAGAAACCATAACCCCACAGCCCAACCATAGGATTTTTCTGAGATCAGAAAATCAAACAAAAGAAAAGGTAAAAGCCTAAAAGGTTATTTTGAGTGCACTCTATAAGATGGTGAAAGAAGACATGGATTTCATTGGTCATTATGGAACCCGAAACCCCCAATACACATCAGCCACGCACAGAATTATTTGCAACAAAGCTGGCACTTGTAAATGGTAGTGAATAGAAGCAGTAACGAAAGATTTGAATTATGCTCAAAATAGTGCCTTACTGAGCACAACTCTGTGGAGAGAGAGAGAGAGTATGGTGGGAGAGAAAAAGGGAGACTTCTCATACTGTAAGAAACTTAAACTGAAGGAAAAAATACCAAAAACAACCTTTACAACTGACTGCTTTTTTTGGCCAGTAATTAACAGCCTTTAGATACCAAGAAATGTGGGATATTGCAATCTTGCCCCAATGCAATTACTTCAACTGAATAAAACAATAGACAATGATCAACCCAAGGAATTTTATCTGATCGATATAGACCTATTCAGATTTCTATAACCAAATAGTTGCCAAAACATTTTGAATGGAGAAGAAGAAGGGAGTGCCAGCCATAGGAAGAGGGATGTTGTGTTTGTGACTGAAGAACTATTATAAACCAGGCCCAACACATGTTGAAGAGCATTCCACCAATTCCGACGATGATTTTGTTTCGACAAGAACTATTCCATTTTCTCTAATTGCTAAGCAATCATTATCATGTACAAAGTCAGTAGTAGATAGACAAATTGCAAAACTGGTCTCTGGGGTGCACTACAATCAGATTCACACCTAAAATTGCAACTAGACAAGTCACACACCAGACAGCAGTTCATCAACAACATTACACAGAATCCTACACAACATAGAACATCACCACAAAATGCACACCAACAGAGATGTAATCAACTTCTTATACAAATAGACTAAAGCACAAAAATATTTAAACGTTCCACATCAAAATGACTTCAATATAAAAATACATCAATTGTTGCAAACCTATTTACATGTACACAATTAGAAATGGTACTGTAGGTGTGAGCAATAGAATGTACACTGCACTCAGAAATTCTTTTCAATAATCGTTTCACCTCATAAGAGGGGGAAAATATCATTGTTGTCATCATCCATGTCAAGATACTTGAAGCGAATGTCACCACCTTTCGGATTGAAGCTGGGATTCACATAGCATTTCATCTCATGAAACAAGTTTAAATTATCCACCAGCTTATGAAATATATTGCATCCACAACACTACAATTAAAAAAAATACAAAAGAACAAACAAATTATAACCAATATCTGAAAGAAAGCAGTGCAGAAGAGACATTCTACATATGCGGGTACATATACCTGGACGAAAACAGTGCCATCGGTGTAGGCATGGGGATTGATGGCGCGAGTGGTTCTTTGACCACATACGTTGCAAGTGAAGGCCACGCGCATACGGCGACGAGGTGATTTGGTGAAGAGAGACCAGGGGAAGGTGGACGTCTGTTCTGCAATTGACCCCGACTCAGCACCGGCGGGGACTGAAGGGCCTTCCATGCCTGAACCTGTAGTCCAACCCCTCACGTTCGCAGCACTCAGAACCAAGCCCATCGCGGCATCCTGAAAATTCCCAAAAAAGCTTAATATCAAAAAAACCCTAGGTCACCATTTCGTCCTCTACGAAGAAAGGCTTAGGGAATAAATTGTTTGATTCAAATACCTGAGAGAGAGTGCGATTGCTGTGGCTCGGTACGATGCTTGAACCATTTGAGTCGGACCGGAGATCGGATTCGTTACCGTTATCTGAATCCAAAGAAGAGGTGTTAGAATTAGGAACGGATCAAAAGATTGAGAATAAAAATGGAAATGAAAAGAGAGCTTACTTTTGGGAGAGGTGGAGAATCGGAGGAGTCTTCTTGACGAAGGATCTTTGGATTTGGGAGAGAAGATGGGGAGGGAAGAAGGAGAAGAGACGATGGTTGAAGTTAGGGCTTCCATGGTTGGTGAATTGAGGAAGAAGAGAGAAACGGCCTTGGCTTTGATGATTGGGAATGTTGTTCAATCTTTACCGGGGATCACTGAATTGACTGTATATATATACTCCGTGAAAATTTTTTAGGCCTGGGGCTGGATAGCCCAAGACCTTACCCGGTGAGCTATTAGGTGGGTTGGGCTTTGGGTATGAGTAGAGTATCCGTAACTCAATTTCATACTCACTGTATGGGTTTTTTTTTATATATATATACATTTTTTAACATAGTATTTTTGTAAATTATATTTTTAAATTGAAAATAAAGTTAAAATGTACAAAAAAATAAATAATAAATAATTTTATTTGAGAGTAATTATTTAGTATTTAAGTAAATAATGAATAATATACTTAAATTACTCAACTTAATAGTTAAGTAAATAAAAAAAATTGTGTAAAACTATTTTTACCCCACAAATCTCTATTCTCACTCCATTTAATTTTTTATTATCAAACTATTAAATCCACTCATTCTATATTCACCCTATTAATAACTAAATTCATTTCATTCTATATACATCTTTTGAATAATTAAGTTCACTTTATTTTTTCTTAAAATTAGAGTTTCAGACGTTGTCTCATCTCATATTCTCACAAAACACTTTTTCAATATGGATTTCTCTAATGAGATACAAGTTACTATTATTTATCGATATAATTCTATTTTTTATTTCACGTGTACTGTATAAATTTTTATTATTTTTGTTGTGTTTTGGTATTATAATAATTTTTTACTTAGGGTTTATATGTGTGTGTGTATAAAAGCTTATGTCATTTTGTGAATTAGCTTTTGTGATATAGCCTTTGTGAATTAGAAATCTTGTTTCGTTTTCTATTTTTTGGCAACATATTTATTCCTTTGTTTTCTTTATTTTGTCATTTCTTAATTTTTTTCTTATTTGTTTTTGAGTAGTGATAGATTTTTCTTTTTTGTTTTCTTTTCTTACATATTAAAGGGTGCATATACCATGCGATGTATTTAGTTATTAATGGGGAGTGTAAAAAAGGGGTGGATTTGGTAGTGTTTCATAAAACTGAAAATTGAAATCTGAAGTTTGAAATATGAAAGCTGAATGCTGAATTTGTAATCTGTTTAGTATTCACTGAAATTTAAGTACTAAATTAAACTAAATTATTTGATAATTACACAAAGTTGTCGTTTGAAAATAAATTAATTTTCAGTTTTACCCTTTCACTCTTTAATTTGAAAGTATTTATAAAATATGTTATAAAATAAATCATTATAACTATTATTATATTTGTAGTCTACATTGAACAAATATTTAATCAAAATAAATAAATAAATAAATAATAAATAACACGAAAAGTGAACAATAACAAATTGAATAACATAATAAGTGAACAATAACATCTGATAAAAAAAATAATAATAATTAATAAATAATCAAATAATATTTAAAAAATGTAATAAATTAGATTTCATTAACAATATGTGTGCGCACTGTGTGTGTGTAAGTATGTGTGTGTGCAGTGCATATGTCTGTATGTAATTGTATGTGCAATGCGCGTGTGTTTGTATATGTAATTATAATTATTTATGGATATTTTTGTTATAGAAGACAAGAGAAAGAAAAAAAAAACAAAAAATATATTGACAAGGAGAATATATAGGTTAGGGATTTTGAAGAGAAGACTAATTAGAGCTTTAATATGATTGTAAAAAATTTCAAGTATAATTGTCATATTGTAAATAAATATTATTAAAAATAATTTTACAGAGTGCTTTTAATTTTAAGTAAGGGATCTCATACTTAAAATTGTAGCCTATTTTTAAGGAGCACTTAACATATTAAGAGAGTTTAACTTTTAGTTATCAGACGAATTTAATTAATAAGTGCTGAATATATTAATTTTAAGTGTTAAATTTGAGTTAACAAACACACCCTTAATAGTTTGATGATAAAAAGTTAAATTAGGTGAGAATGAATATTTTTGGGGTGTGAATAGCCTCACCCAAAAAAATGAGAGGAATATACCACTTAACTTTCAATGGTTAATTATTTATCAAACAAAGTGGGTGGACGAACGGGTTAGGCGGTTGAGGTAAGCTGGGCGGGTAGGTTTTTGGGCTGGGAATTAATGGATTTTTACGAGTGGGCTAATGGGCCTGATTTGTAGACTGGATAATGGGCTTGGACACAGGTCCAGGCCTCTTCTTGAAGGATATTAGGATAGAATTCGAACTGGTCAACTATCAAATTTTGGGCTGAGAAACAGATCTGGTGGGCCAACCTGACCCACGGACACTCCCATATATACATAGGATATGTGGACGAGATTCCCTTCTTGATGACTTAAATTCAGATTTTTAAGCCAACCTCCCTTCTATTCTCAAATTCCTATTTAAATTTAAATTTAAGTAAAAATAACTCCCAATATTTTACTCAAATTCAAAAGAAACTTAAATTTTTATTGAAATTTTTAATGTCAAATTTTACTCTTTTAAAAGATGTAATGGTCGTATTTCATTTTTTTAATTTTATCTTCTTTTAATTTTGAATTTGTCTATTTAAGTATTTTGAATCAAATTAAATTTTTTTGTCAATTATTAATTTAAATTTGAGTTGAAATTACAGATGATCTAATTAATGAATAATTATAGTTGTAGGTATTCCGAATTTATTTTGTGAGCATAGATCCATTGTGGGCCTGTGTGGGCCTTCTGATTTTTTGAAAAGGTCAAAAAATTTTCAGTAGTCGGTACAGGGAAATAGACTTTTGAGCTAATAAAGACAAGCGTTGGTTCAGGTATAGCTTGGGGCTCGAGTTACTTGGATTTTGCTTGGCTCGGCTCGGCTCGGTTTATTTTTAAATAAATCGAATTTGAATAATTTTTTATATTTATTTATAAAAATTAACTCGACAAATTCTGGCTCAAACTTATGAAACTTGACTTGATTAATAGTCCTAATTAAGGACACACAATAGTAAGAAAACTTTGAAGCCCCTATGACATACAAGTTTTCGCTTTATATAAAAAGTATATTTAACTCTTACTCAAATTTAGATTCAAATTTAAATTTGAATAAAAAAAGTTCAAAAAAATTATTCCAATTTTTAACTCAAACTTATACCAAATTAAAGGAGACTCAAATCTTTACTTAAATATTTAATGGTAAGATTTTATCATATTTTAAAGATTCAATGATCATCTTTTAAATTTGAGTTTCTTTTTTTTTTTTAAATTTGAATTTGTTAATTAGAACCCTTTGTATCAAATTAAATTTTTTACTCAAATGTTAGTTTAAATTTGAGTAAAAATTAGAGTAATGATTGGAGATGTTCTAACCGCACTGGCAATCCAACTACTAACAATAAAATCTTATGAAAATTACGCTATAAATTAAAAAAATAAAATTTTTAGTTGGCAAAAAACATTCAAAATCGACTGGAAACAATATCTTATCACAATTCAAAATCTGTAGTGCTCTATTTTTTTTTCCTTTCATGACTGTCCATCCATCATCTTCTTGTGGAAAACAAGGTTTCACATTTAAGCAAATTTAGTCCAAAGATCCAACTAAGTTAAAAATTTTCAAATCGTTTTTTTTTTATCTTTGTCCCATAACGTGTCACTTTGTTGATCATTGATTTGATGAACTAGGGTTTCAATTCAAACACATTTGGCTCAGACAAATCACATTATTATTATACATATTTAGTAATTATTTTCGTTAAATAAGTAACAATATCACATAAATTTGGTTCTTTATGTATTTCAATACCCTGTTAATATTCCAAAACCCNACATAAATTTGGTTCTTTATGTATTTCAATACCCTGTTAATATTCCAAAACCCCTCTTAATTTGTTATCTTGAATGTGGGAGAGTGGGCGGTTATGTGTTTATTTATTGGAATTCTAACAAAGGTTCGGTCAGANGGAGAGTGGGCGGTTATGTGTTTATTTATTGGAATTCTAACAAAGGTTCGGTCAGAGTGGGCGGTTCGGCTCCATTGTCAAGCTAACCTGGTCCTAAACCAACTAAGCCCCTATGTTAAAAGCCTTGTCAACTCCACAGGCAGGCAGGCCAGCCTGGTGTTATTTTGGACCCAAATATCTATTAAGTTTGTGAAAGTTGGCCCATGATAGAATTCAATTCTGGTCTGATAGCCAGGCCCAAATCTGAGGCAATCTAAAATCAACTATACCTAATACATAAACTTCCCATGTATAATTAATGCAATTTAGAAACAAAAATAGATGATAGACAACAACCACTCTAGCTTCTATTTTTTTTTTTTTTTACTACAGAGCGTCTAAACTTGTGCTAACTAATCTCTCGAGTTCGGATACTAGCCACATTAGTCCGAATGAGATTAAAACATATTCTCAAAAGTCAAAATTCAACTATTGAACCACCCTTTAAAATTACTATTTTAGCTTTCATTTTGACATACTATTGTGTANTTTTTTTTTTTTTTTTTTTTACTACGGAGCGTCTAAACTTGTGCTAACTAATCTCTCGAGTTCGGATACTAGCCACATTAGTCCGAATGAGATTAAAACATATTCTCAGAAGTCAAATTCAACTACNGCCACATTAGTCCGAATGAGATTAAAACATATTCTCAGAAGTCAAATTCAACTACTGAACCACCCTTTAAAATTACTATTTTAGCTTTCATTTTGACATACTATTGTGTATAAAAATTCCATCCTTCTTGTGACGTAAAAAAATATATTGATCAAGTTGCGCGTAAATTAAATCAAATACAACTAACCATTTAAAAAAAAAAGGAGAGTAACTGGAATGGTAAATAAGTAGTAGTACAGATAGGTAGTAAATGCGAAGAGCATGCGAGGAAGAGTATTGAATGAGGGAATCTCGGTCTGACTGCATTAAGTAGAAGCAGACACATCTCTGTTTTGTTTGGGTAATTAAGACACACCTCTGTTGATCATGATAAATGTATAGGTTTACAATTTATATCTTCACCAATGTTATTTGCTCTTCTTCTTATTACATCTCTAAATTAGGTATAAATGGTTTATAAATTTGAAAAAATATGCCAAA